TATGTAGTGTCTCTACTTTAAAGAGTCCTCTCCTGCTGATGTTCAGGTGTATATCAGTATGTAGTGTCTCTACTTTAAAGAGTCCTCTCCTGCTGATGGTCAGGTATATATCAGTATGTAGTGTCTCTACTTTAAAGAGTCCTCTCCTGCTGATGTTCAGGTGTATATCAGTATGTAGTGTCTCTACTTTAAAGAGTCCTCTCCTGCTGATGTTCAGGTGTATATCAGTATGTAGTGTCTCTACTTTAAAGAGTCCTCTCCTGCTGATGTTCAGGTGTATATCAGTATGTAGTGGCTCTACTTTAAAGAGTCCTCTCCAGCTGATGTTCAGGTGTATATCAGTATGTAGTGTCTCTACTTTAAAGAGTCCTCTCCTGCTGATGTTCAGGTGTATATCAGTATGTAGTGTCTCTACTTTAAAGAGTCCTCTCCTGCTGATGTTCAGGTGTATATCAGTATGTAGTGTCTCTACTTTAAAGAGTCCTCTCCTGCTGATGTTCAGGTGTATATCAGTATGTAGTGTCTCTACTTTAAAGAGTCCTCTCCTGCTGATGTTCAGGTGTATATCAGTATGTAGTGTCTCTACTGTGACATGTCTCCATGCTTTAATGTTCAAAAAGCTCTCATTCTGCCTGTGCTGCAGCACCTCTTTTCACCCTCTGTCTGAAACCAGAGCCCAGTCTGCTCTGATTGGTTAGCTGGCCGGCTCTGTTGTGATTGGTGATTGGCTTAGAGATGTCCCGCCTCTTAGCCTATCACGTACAATGTCGTACAATGTGTGGGAGCGCTAGCTAATATAAGTGCAAGTGTTATGTAGTGATGTCATGACGTTCTGGAAGTAAACAAAGGAGTCCAATGGAGCCAGAACGTAGGGATTTTAGCCTTTGCAGACCATTTACATGCACTAAAACTTACATAACACACTAAAGGAAAGGGACAAACCCCAAAAAGCAGAATAGGGCCTCTTTCGAATGGACTGTTGTGTTTGTAGAAATGTATTATTGACTTAGGTAACTGCTAAAACCTTGAATTGCAGAAGAGACCATGTGTTGGTCTTTAGCTATGAATTTTAAAATAAAAAATGTGCATGACGTCACCTAATCGTAAAGTGTAAGGACTGAGCATGTGCAAAGCAGGAAGTGATAAGCGTTTTTCAGCTTATTCAGTCCTTATTTGTTTAAAGTGGACCTATCATGCTATATTTGAATAATATAGTGTAGGACCATACCTATATAAGGCATATTTATACTTTTTTTTTTTCAAAATACCAAACAGATCATGCATTTTAGCCATGCCTCATTTCGCTCAATTTGACCATTTTTAGCTCTGTTTTAGCAAGGGCTGATTCTGTGAGAACAGCACCACCTACAGGCCTGGCATATGTACTACAGCGTCTCCAGCGCTTTCGAACGGCAATGGCCGTGGCTGTCTCCTCCTGATTGGTGGAGTTGGCCCAATAGCCGTAGCGCCACCGTCCTGACGTCAGGACAGTGTTCAAATCTGGATCAGTTTTTATCAGATCCGTTGCAGCCCCTTTTTTAGAGATTTGGGTATGGAGGAAAATAGAGAGGGTTGTGTTTTCTGACACTTGGTGAGTTCCCTGGAACACCGGGGACACATATTCATGTATACAAGACGTACAAAAGTGCATTTTGCATGATAGGTCCCCTTTAAATAAATGGGCACCTTCTTGGCAATGGTTTCCAGACGTTATAAAACATCCATGAGTTCAACACAAGGGCAAACCGTTTCCATTTATTCCAATGTATTTCTACTTGTAACACATGGACACGCATGGACGCAGATAATTGTCATAAATGTGCAGACCTGATTGCTTTATAGTACATTGATTTAATAAAACCACTGGGGAGAGCTAGTCAGAATTGTGCAAATAAGACAGGAAGTTGTTATCTCTAAAGGACTCATCAAGAAACAAAGTCATTTAAACTACTTTTTCTAGGACTAAATGTGTGTTTTCTCCAATGAGAAGTAATTTCTAAGACGTAAAAACTTTAATGCATATCAATTTGAAAATGGCACAAACCAAATTGAAAGAACTCCCAATTCCCACATTTCTCCAGCTCCTGATAAGCTTGAAGTTGTTAAGCCTCGGAGCGTTTCCTCTGCCGCTGATATGAACGCTCTTTCACTGTATGTGTGGTCGAAAATAATGCTGATGTACGGGAAAGCTCGGTGCATATTCACACAATCAGCCTCTGCGGAGTGTTTCTGGTAAATTGCATTTCTAAGTCATTGGCGAAATAAAAAAGGAAAACATTGCTCTTTAGTGGAATGGGCTGCTTTTCTGTAAGAAGTCAAACACGGCGGTATATATTTTTCTCTATGGGGAGCTTCATGTGTCCCGGGGAGCGAATAAATGATGTGAGAAAAGTAAAAGCACTAACCTTTAACAGAACTGACTCATTGACTGATTGATATTTCATCAAACGGCGGGAAAAGGTAGAACTGCAAGCTTGAAGATCCTCGGTGTTTATCACTGAATGAGCAGCAATCGTTCGACCGATTAATCAGTTAATTAGCTCACAGGGGACTTTTTAAATAACATGCTGAAAAATCCAATTAGGTAATGGACAAGGTGAGGACATGTTTGCATTTATACTGAAGGAAAATGTGGCTCGCTTTTGTCACTTCAGATGTTTTTCTTGTCTCTAAAAATCATGGCAGATTAATTTTTGATGAGGCTATTTACTCACCATCCACCACAGAGTTGACATCAATCAGCCAATCAGAGTTTGGCTGCTTTTCAGGACTACAGCTGCACAATTTATTACATTTTAAGGGTCAGAAATATGCCAATACACAGCCGGAGTAAGTACTATATACTGCTGTATACTGTATTTACGCTCAGTGTATTTATTCTTATTTAAACATTTTAAATATATTTACCTTTACTTTTATCATTTATTTTGTACAGACTGCTGATAGATGTGTATATAACTGACTGTTTGTACTCTGGTTAGACTCTCCTAATTTCGTTACACTATGCTTGCATTATGTAATGACAATGAAGTAATCTAATCTAATCTAATCCAATCTATATTTGGAAAATATTTCAAAATATCTGAATTAAGTATTTTGGTGCTGCAGAGAATTCCTGGTATTTTAAAGACTAAATAAAAAATCCTTGTTTGGTACAGATGCTCTTAAATTAAATAATAATATATATTATAAAATCCCACTATGATCATTTAAATAATAACTATCAATGGCAAGTAGTTTGCATTTTATAAATGAATATTTCCTCATATGGCGAAACATATCTCAATTGCACTATTTGTCAAAATATTCGCAATTATTCAAGACATGTTTTCAAAATCGTGCAGCCAATTTCAGGACACACAAATGTCAAAAAGCTGCTGTATATTTTTTTTAATTGACACGCTTTAACTAAATGCTGTTTTAAATAAAGAACAAACACTACTGGGAGTGAGAACATTTCCAGGTAATGATGTTTCTGTCTGCACGGATTAATATCATGTTGGAAATTAAAGCTTTGGTTTGATCCAATGATGCCGATGCCAGAAATGAGAAAACATCAGATGCTTTCAAATGATTCTGGGCATGAGGGGAAACACTGACACTCTGTAGCATTTACATTTCAATGTTGTTCACTTTGTAACACTGGGGATTATTTCCAGAGGTGGGAAGTAGTGGAGTACAAAGACTTCATTACTGTACTTGAAGGTCCCATGTCTTGGCCATTTCTACTGATCATAATTCCATTGTTGAGGTCTACTAGAATATATTTAAATTGTGCAATTTTCTAAACTCACATTGGTTTCTCATACAGCATCTCTGTATAGTATGTGTATTCACTCTCTGTCCTACATGGCTTGTTGGAGCTCCTGCCCACCCCCCCTCCCTGTGAGCCCACTGTGCTCTGATTGGTCAGCTCGCCCACTCTGTTCCACCACCGTTACAGCGGAACATCAGTGATTATGTGTTACAATGGCGTTAGTTAGCAACCAGGAAATGACACCAGTAATGACAAACAGATGAGAATGCTCTGCGTGGGGTCTGGGTGCCGTGTTGGCGGGACGTTGCGCGGCGCGGACAGTGTCAGCTGGGTTCATTTCCTGCTTGCTGCGTGGGGTCTGAGAGACAGTGAGACATTGCGAATGGACGTGGGAAGGGGGGGGTGCTGAGGGGGCTGCAGCACCCCCATCTGCGAGGCTCCACTAGCACCCGCACCCCCAAACGCGGCGCACCTACAGTGTAAGCGCGCCACAGTTTCGCCGCTGCGAGGCTCCACTAGGTCCATTTGGGTATGGGCACGTCACTGTACCCAGGAAGACAAAGAGAAATGTCCAACGAGGCGTTCTGGGGCAGCATAGACAGGCCTTTTCTGTGTTAGAGTTTTACTCGCTACAGGGTGTACTTTGAGGGTTTGTGACTCTTCAGACCGTTTACATGCAGAAAAACCTTCATAACACAAGGGGGCGGGTAATAACCGGAAAAGCATGACATGGGACCTTTAAGTAAATCTTTCTGGTATCAGTACTTTACTCCACGACTTTTTGCTTTTACTTCTTACATTTTCCAAACAGGCTGGTTCCTTTAGTTTGAATGTGTGTTTGGTGGCGTGATCATTATTATTTAGAGTCATTGCGTGCCTATTGATTTGAACACGATCCGTGTATCCATCATTTCCTGGTCTTCTCTAAAGAAGAGGGACCAATGAAAACGTTGTCATGTTGCCGTTGTTCAGCATGGAAACATTCATTAGCTAACAATGACATTATTGTTCTATTAATATAAAGGGAGGTCAGGTACTCTTTAAAACAGCTGCTAGTTATGGGTACTTTTTACTGAAGTACATTTCAAAGCCCTCTTTACTTTTACTTGAGTAAAGAAGTTTAGTCAGTACTTCTACTTTTACCAGAGTATTTTTAAACACGAGTATCTGTACTTCTACTTGAGTAAAGGATGTGTGTACTTTTGCCATCTCTAAATATTGTCTTTGTGTTTTAACTCTGCAGGTCAACAAGACAGAGGACAAGTCCCTGGAGGAGCGAGGACGCATCATGATCTCTCTGAAGTACAACACCCAGAAGTCGTGTCTGGTGGTGGGGATCATCCGCTGCGCTCACCTCGCCGCCATGGACGCCAACGGCTTCTCCGACCCCTACGTCAAAACGTCAGTATGCTAACTGTTAGAAAAATATCACTGGTCACCGGCTTGATCTTCAATCTCAGGATCCATGTATGTGTGATCCTCTCCAGAATGGAAGTAGTCATCACATACAGAGCATCAACTAGTTCCTGAACAGTGTCCTTCACATGCTGATATCCAAGAGAGGGAGTTACACAGTCACAAGATGGAGGAATAGAAAGCAGTATTCAATGTTTACTTCAGATTAGCTCCACGTCAGAAATGAGCATGCTTGTCATATGTCTATCTCCATAGAGGCTGAATCATCATGTTAATCACATAGCTATCATATGCCTCAAACAGTCCTGATGCTCTTCTAGGTAATCATACATCCTGTCATGTTCACAGCTACAGTTGGGATACCTTTGTTATCACGTTACTCTCAGATTGGAAGAGTATATTCAGTATTTTCCCAACACTAACGGTTGCAAATTCACCCGAAACAGAAACTGGAACCGTTATATCTTAGCTATTAAGAGCTTAGACAGTGCTCTAACTTAATTTGGTGTGATTGCATACAACATGTGAGATAACTTTTAATGACAATTCTGGTAACTTTACAACTTGTGTCTTGTTTTATAGTTTTCTTCGCATCGAAGGAGTTCATAACACTGGTGGGAAAAGCAACAGTCTGATCAGAGTAAACACAGCTCTAGCAAAGCAGTCATTAAGAGCAACAATACCCCACAGACCTATTAAAGTAATGAACAAAGGGGTTAACTACACACACTCTTACCTAGTTGCTAGATCTTAGTAATGTTAAACGTGATTAAAGCGAGCCATTACAGAAATGACTGTGTGGCAAAGTTAGTTAGCTTAACATGTCTGTTCCCAAATTGCCTCAACAACACTGAGAAAAAGCAGTGTTTCTCCAGTAACTGTACACCTGCCACACCAAAGGGAACACATGTATTTTTGTAAAGGCCAAAGTAAAGCCAATTTATCCATAGCAGTGTTCAATATACTGTACTTTAATCTGTGGCTCTTAACTGCAACGTAGCATGAGCGCTAGTCCATGAATGAGTCTGGGGTTAGTGCAGAAGTCAGTAATAGCCATACAGTCGATATTAGTAATAACAGGAGAGTTGAGGGTATGTTATCTGAACTACTTCAGTCAGTTTACCAGAACATTTGAAGTTAAAGTGGACCTATCATGCTATATTTGAATAACATAGTGTAGGACCATACCTATATAAGGCATATTTATACTTTTTTTTTTTCAAAATACCAAACAGATCATGCATTTTAGCCATGCCTCATTTCGCTCAATTTGCACTTTTTTTACCCCTGTTTTAGCAAGGGCTGATTCTGTGAGAACAGCACCACCTACAGGCCTGGCATATGTACTACAATGTCTCCAGCGCTTTGGAACGGCAATGGCCGTGGCTGTCTCCTCCTGATTGGTGGAGTTGGCCCAATAGCCGTAGCGCCACCGTCCTGACGTCAGGACAGTGTTCAAATCTGGATCAGTTTGTATCAGATCCGTTGCAGCCCCTTTTTTAGAGATTTGGGTATGGAGGAAAATAGAGAGGGTTGTGTTTTCTGACACTTGGTGAGTTCCCTGGAACACCGGGGACATATATTCATGTAGAAAAGACGTACAAAAGTGCATTTTGCATGATAGGTCCCCTTTAAAATAACGTTGTTGGTGGACGTCACGTTATAAACTGTCTCGGTAACGCACAACATGAGGAAAACTGTGTCACAATAGTCTGCTACTTCTCTACTATGAATTTCTTAACCCTAAAATGCCACAAGATTGCACTTTAGTTAGGGGGCTAATGTGGTTTTTGCTTGGATACCATTCAAGTGTCCTCGCTCTGTGACGTTAACTTGGTTACATTATAAAAAGACTGTTCTCTCCCGGGTATATTGCTTTACAGTATCAAAAACTAAGATCATGGATCAGTTTTCATTTACTAAAGTGTTCGTCAAGGACAAAATCGTATTTCAAAGAATCTGCCCACACACTTATTTAAAAAAGACCATGTTTCAGTCACAAGGACATTTCTCAAGACAACAATAAGGACACAATCTGACCTTTTGTTTGCACAAGACTCCACTGACTAGAGTCAGGAGGTCACAAATACCATTAAGAACCGCCCTCTAGGCTTCATAAATATTGATGGCACATGTCATGCTTTTAGCTGTCAAAGTGTCAAAATCATAAGCTATAACATATGAATTTATAATTTATAAAACAAGGATTTGCACATTTAAAGAGATACATTTAAAGGTCCCCTATTATACTGTTTTTCATCAATATATTATAGGTCTCAGATATATACAGAACATGTCTCTGAAGTGTTTGTATCAAAACACCAAACAGATCATTGCAGCATCCCATAATCCCCTCTGTTTCAGCCCTGTTTCCAAAGTGCTGATTCTGTGTCTGTTACTTCAGATGAAAATAAGGAGCCCCTCCCCACGCCCCTCTGAGAGAGATTTGGTTAAAAAGAACTCAATGGTGCTCTAGGTGGAGATTCAGGTGATAAGGGGGGGGGGGGGGGGGGGGGGGGGGGGTTACCTTGGTTGGTGATTGGCTAATGGTTACACAAGACAAAACATCGTTATGACATCATAAAGTGGCCAAAATCTGATCGGCTCATTTTCAGACAGGTTTTTATAGAAATGGATCAAAAAGAGAGAGAATCTTTGTTCCTGAAACTTTCAGAGTCTCTTTCCACAGAGGGGACACATGTTGATGAAGAAGAGACATGAAGAAGAGGGGACACATGTTGATGAAGAAGAGACATGAAGAAGAGGGGACACATGTTGATGTAGAAGAGACATGAAGAAGAGGGGACACATGTTGATGTAGAAGAGACATGAAGAAGAGGGGACACATGTTGATGTAGAAGAGACATGAAGAAGAGGGGACACATGTTGATGTAGAAGAGACATGAAGAAGAGGGGACACATGTTGATGTAGAAGAGACATGAAGAAGAGGGGACACATGTTGATGTAGAAGAGACATGAAGAAGAGGGGACACATGTTGATGAAGAAGAGACATGAAGAAGAGGGGACACATGTTGATGTAGAAGAGACATGAAGAAGAGGGGACACATGTTGATGTAGAAGAGACATGAAGAAGAGGGGACACATGTTGATGTAGAAGAGACATGAAGAAGAGGGGACACATGTTGATGTAGAAGAGACATGAAGAAGAGGGGACACATGTTGATGTAGAAGAGACATGAAGAAGAGGGGACACATGTTGATGTAGAAGAGACATGAAGAAGAGGGGACACATGTTGATGAAGAAGAGACATGAAGAAGAGGGGACACATGTTGATGTAGAAGAGACATGAAGAAGAGGGGACACATGTTGATGTAGAAGAGACATGAAGAAGAGGGGACACATGTTGATGTAGAAGAGACATGAAGAAGAGGGGACACATGTTGATGTAGAAGAGACATGAAGAAGAGGGGACACATGTTGATGTAGAAGAGACATGAAGAAGAGGGGACACATGTTGATGTAGAAGAGACATGGAGAAGAGGGGACACATTTTGATGAAGAAGAGACATGAAGAAGAGGGGACACATGTTGATGTAGAAGAGACATGGAGAAGAGGGGACACATGTTGATGTAGAAGAGACATGAAGAAGAGGGGACACATGTTGATGAAGAAGAGACATGAAGAAGAGGGGACACATGTTGATGTAGAAGAGACATGAATAAGTGGATTTTGCATAATAGGTGACCTTTACATGATATAAAAAACATGTGCTGACTTCACGTTTAGACACCTGTGTTTTGATGTCCTCCGTTCCTCCACAACACACCGGATTCTCGTTATTATTATGCTATTTCTGATGGTTATACAATGTGCTGCATAAGTGCTGTAATGGAATAGCTGGCAGTGAAAAATGTTTTAGCAGAAAAGAGAGAGACTACATGTGATTGTCAGCTGAATGAAAGACACGCAGCACAAGAGGCCATCTGCAGGGCTGCAATTTCCAAGAAGAGTCCTATTTATCACACCTGAACATTTCCCAAGTCTTTCATCTGGCTGAGCAATGAAAGTGCAATTAATTTCCGACTCTACTGTGCACACCTCGGGAACAAAGGCTCGTATCCAGGAGAGAGGAGGAAGGCAACAATTTTCCAACAGTTTGAGGCTGAGAAAATCTCCCTGAAGCTTGAAGGACATACGGGCGGATAATAGATTTACTGACGGCTCATGTGAGAGGAAATAAAGGAAATGTATACTCCAACAGAGAGACAAGATTTCTCTCTTATTTCACAAGATGCATCAAGTCACAGCTGTCATCTGTACAGTAAATGGTGTATCCGGTAGATTAGGGCGGTAGAATTATTCAAAATAAGAATTAAAATGCTCCACCGAATCCTTGTCTTCGTACATCATCCGGAAAATTATAATTTAAAGGGGACCAATCATGCAAAATGCACTTTTGTACGTCTTTTCTACATGAATATGTGTCCCCGGTGTTCCAGGGAACTCACCAAGTGTCAGAAAACACAACCCTCTCTATTTTCCTCCATACCCAAATCTCTAAAAAAGGGGCTGCAACGGATCTGATAAAAACTGATCCAGATTTGAACACTGTCCTGACGTCAGGACGGTGGCGCTACGGCTATTGGGCCAACTCCACCAATCAGGAGGAGACAGCCACGGCCATTGCCGTTCGAAAGCGCTGGAGACGCTGTAGTACATATGCCAGGCCTGTAGATGGTGCTGTTCTCACCGGATCTGCCCTTGCAAAAACAGAGCTAACATTTTTCAAATTGAGCAAAATGAGGCATGGCTAAAATGCATGATCTGTTTGGTATTTTGAAAAAAAAACTTCACAGACATGTTTTATATAGGTATGGCCCTACAATATATGTTTCAAATATAGCATGATAGGTCCACTTTAAATATATGTTTTGATCATACTGTGATCAACCCCTCCAACATTGCAAAACATGTCACAGTTGCAGTAATCAAAAATAATCGCAATTCTTTATTTTTAATC